AAGCTTTTTCTAGCTGTTAACAGCTTGTTCTCAGATGCGTGTCATCCAGTTTTGTTCAAAGTTGGTACAGGGACAGGTAATAATTGTTTACAAGTGCACATCGCATTATATGTTTAACAAGTTATAAATTGTCTCAGAAAAGCCAAATGAATAAATTTTTACCCCACCCCCTAAAATTGTAACACATCAATTCTGAACAGAATTTTAATACAGCTCATAATGAATTAATTCACTCTGACACAAACTAAGTTCAATATAAGTTTTTAAATTTTTTTCTGAGCGGGGGCTATGACATGACATGTCATGTCTTGTTACATACTGATTACAATGAAGGCATCAATTCATGTTACACGAATTGGTTAAGATTAAAGATCTGGCATCACGAACTGATGTTCTGCAGTGCTTTAAAACAAGGGTCAAGTTTAGAATATCAAATGAATTTAGGTACCATCTCTTTACCCACGCACTTGATGAATCTGAAGCATTTTTCTGCATCAACAACGCTGTTGCTATGGTTAATGGAAAGTCTTTGCAGTTCCCGGATTATTTGATATGAACAACCGATCGACACTGTTGTGCAACAACCAGGGAAATATCACACAGACTCCGTATCGTTTTCTGGAACATTTTATATTATGATTAATAATGTACTGTCATTTCATGACTTTGTTTTTATATCGTCTATTTTTATATTGTATAATGCTTCAGAGTTTTAAATCATCGAACATTTGACATTTTTTATTATTTAATATTGTAGTTTATTGACTACAAAAATCGCTGTTTCAACTTTTTTTGTTCCACCGTTAACCCAAGAACCACTCATCAAATTTCGTTGAAACTTGGTACATAGATGCTCTGGGCCAATGCGCAGATTTGATTAGATTTTGGTAAAAATATACGCATATTAATTACCTAATTTGCATGATAATTAGCTAATTTTTAGCTGTTTCATGACTGTTCCACTGATAACTAAAGAACCAGTCATTGGATTTTGATGTAACTTAGTACATAGATGCTCTGAACTAACACACAGCTTTGATTAATTTTAGGTAAAAATCTGTGCCTATTAATTAGCTAATTTGCATAATAACTCAATTTCAATAAAACTTGGTACATAGATGTCATGTTTTTAGGGTAATATCAGTACATATTAATTACCAATTTGCATAATCAGCCCTTGATATTTCAAGTAGTAATCATCACATTTCAATGAAATTTTGAACATAGATACTCTAGGACTATGCAGAGATCCATTGTTTTCGATTAAATATTTGTGCATATTAATCACCTAATTTGCATAATTAGTTGATTTTCAGTTCTTCCAATGATATCTCGACAACTAATCATCACATTTCAATGAAACTTGGTACATGAATTCTCTAGCATATGCAGAGTCTCGATCAGTTTTTGGGTGAATATTTGTGCATTAATCACCAAATTTGCATAATTAGTTAATATTCAGCTTTTACACTGATATATCAAGTGTGAATCATCACATTTCAATGAAACTTGGGACATGGATCACGTAGGACTATGCCGACACCTGATTTAGTTTTGGGGTAAATTATTATCTAATTTGCATAATTAAATCAATTTTAAGCTTTCACACTGATATCTACAGTACTAATTATTCCATTTCAATGAAACTTGGTACATAGATGCTCTAGGTCAATGTGCAAACCTGATTAGTTTGGGTTAAAATCTATTATTTCCATAATTATTTTTTTGTTCTAATTACATTTCAATGAAACTTGGTACATAGATGGTCTGTTACATTGTCTCTTGCCTCCAAAACTCTCAGCACACGGGAGTTCTTTCTAAGCTTTCTTTGATTTTGTATTCTATTTTCTGATTGTTAAACAATTACTAGAAAGATATTCCATCTGTTTGGCCTTTGTTGAATTCATGTGAAGTATATTATGAAACCATTCTATGATATTTTAGATTACTTGTCATTGCTCACTTTTACAAACACTTTGGCACTGGTTCATAAGATGACAAATCAATACGTTCTTTTATACAATGTCATTTTGTGTCAACAGATCTTACAGTACGATATGTGGGATGTAACTCCAACCGATTTACATGATTGGGATGCACTGAAGAAAGACATTGCTACACATGGTTTACGTAATAGTTTATTATTAGCACCTATGCCAACAGCTTCAACTGCACAGATACTGGGTAACAATGAATCAGTTGAGCCTTATACAACCAATATCTATTCAAGAAGGGTTTTATCAAAAGAATTTCAGGTTTGTATTTTGTTATCAAGTTTGTAACTGCCATTTTATTTGACCTCACTCATGCAGTTGTCCATCTCTTTACCTTGGCTCATAATCATTAAAAGAAAAAACATATAGGAGGGAAAATGTCTGTCCTTGTTTTCGTTGCCATCTCTGGAATGAACTTTGTAGTTGCAATGACTCAACAAATTTTTATTCGATCATCTTCAAACTTTGAAATCTTATTAATTATAAAAAATGTCTGCCAACATTGATTTTGGAATAATTAGTCGCTCTGGGTTATAATTCAGAGAAAATAAAACACTTTTTAGACATAGAAATATGTGAAAACATTTGTACTACTGATTATTATAAGTAATAAGCTCAATAAGATGTGTTATTAATAAACCTTTCTCATAGCAATCTGTTGCCAAACTGTCCATTGTGCTGGTATTCTAAGCCTTTTCCCATGACCACCTGTAGTCTGTCTTCATTCAAGACTTTCTCAGAATTAACTGATTATCTTTTCAGGTTGTGAATCACCATCTACTGAAAGACTTGACTGAGATGGGTCTCTGGAATGATGATATGAAGAATTTGTTGATTGCTAACAATGGCTCTATTCAGGTATGAATGCTACTCAATAGTTCAATCTTATCACTGTTAAAATTGTCATTTGCATTTAGTTCCAGAAAGCTGTAGGAGATTTCTCACTTGACAAAACACTGGCACTCTCCAGTAACCCAGACGCTACCCTGCAGCCATCTTTTCCCACTTGGAAGTAATTTAATGCACAATGTTGATATATAACATGTATGCTATTTTATTAATGTCCACATTGATTTTTCATTAATTGGAGACAAAAAGATTGATTGATTTGAGCTATTGTCAGAAACTACTTATTTTCAGCATTTGTTTGCTTATTCTTTTTTGCCTGTCTCTTTCCTGGAACTTGATTTTGCTTGTAAATGCTTACTCTATATTAATTGGATCAACCATTTTTTTTTTTTTTTTCAGAGCATCGATGGAATTCCAGATCATATCAAGAAACTGTACAGAACTGTGTGGGAAATCTCTCAGAAGAATATTTTGATCATGGCTGCAGATAGAGGAGCATTCATTGATCAAAGTCAGTCATTGAACATTCATATTGCAGAGCCAAACTATGGAAAACTGACCAGTATGCACTTCTTTGCATGGAAGCAGGTTTGTACTTAGATAAGGAACAACAATCTAATTTTTTAGTTTTCTTCTAGGCAGCATATTATCCGTACCTTAGTTTATACATCTTGCACTGCTTTGATATTCGGTACACATCTGGGCTTTTTTTATCAGATATTTGTTATTCAAAAGCATCTTGTTCCTCACTGGATTAAATAATTTTTAAGTGACATGCAAGACTTGTAATGTATTAACTGAAGCATACATTCAGTTTGTGGGAGTATTCTTTACAATATATCTATTATAGTATAGTATAGTATATATATAGTATAGTATAGTATAGTAGTATAG